TCTCCCTCAACTCATTCTCGCTTTGATCTTTGACCATTCTGTCTTCCCATCTATACGCCCTTGTCCTCAGTCTTTTTGTCCAGCCCCCCCCCCCCAAAGTCTCCCTGTATGTCTCCATCTTCCCATTTCTCTCTATATTATATTTTTCTATAAACCCGTACTTCTGTTTATCTCACTTACCGCTTTTTTTGATGTCTTTTCCAATAATATCAAGACAACGTTAACAATCTGAACAAGTACACGAAGAGCCATAATATAGATCTACACAAGATATTGTATTTGTTGGTGATGTGTAACCGAGTTAATAGTAACACTGACACCATATCACGAAATAGCTCGCAGGAGTTTCCGAAAACTGTTGAGAGCATGATCTCGAAAAGTAGCGGATGCAGGAGTCGCTATATGACGAGCAGACAGACCCGTCGCGAGTCATCAGCTCGACAGGGGAGAGAATCGGAAGTGAGTAGTGACGAAAGCGTGGGCAGGCCTCAGTGTCTGGCACCTCATGTGCTCATCATTTGGTCTTACGTGTGTCAGGTCGAGTAATGGCCGACGCATGGGAGGAACGAACACCTTAAATTATTTTGACATGTCTAGACAAAATCACACAACTTGCAAGTTCTTCATCTCGCTTATGCAACCATACAGAGAGTAAACGATGATGGTAGGCTATTTGGGAACAACAGACATTTTGCTCTCGCTTTTTTTCTTGGTATAAAGAAAATATCCATGTTCTCTAAGTTACAAATGCATGGCGATAAAACTAAGAAGTTTCTTTTCTTAGGTAAAAGTTACACGTCGGCCAGCTGTTAAAATGTTCTAAACCCAAAGTTTTGACATTTAAAACAAAATGCAATTTCTTAATCTGTGGTATCGGTTGCGTGTGCTCAAGAACTATTTTGTTGACACTGAAATTCTTAAAGTTGAAAAACAAAAGGAAAAAAAAAACCCAACAGAATATTGTCCAATTGTTAAAAGAACGAAACAGTTCTTTCTCTCTCCTGTAAAATTTTGTTTTCTGGGCTTAGTACATTTTAACAGCTTGCCGACATAAAGCTCTCTCTGCTACGAATCTCTCTCCTCTGCCAGAGTTGTCTTTCTAGGACTAAGCTTTTGTTGTTGTTAATGCTTACGTCAGCCTTCAACGATTAGGTTCAAAGTAATAAAATCAAGTTTGACCCTTAAAAGCAACCTGCTCTGTGACATGTCTCTACAATCCTTTGTTTCTGAATACACCAGCATCGAGAAGGAACTACTAAGCTTTTTGCTTGTGTCACAAGTATAAGAAGATGATGGTCACCCTCTTTGCCAATATAAACAGGAATTCAGCGCTCTTGTCTGATCCGCATTTTTATCTGTCTGCCTGGTAATGAAGGCTTGAGATAAAACTTCCTCCTCTGCTTTTAGCTGGACGTACGGGTGTCAGTAGCGCTGGGTAAAGCGAGAAGATAATGACGCGCAAATGCACAGATAACGGATCGGACAAGGATGCGCAGCCTCCTCGTCTGACACGAGTGGCATACTGCGCAGGTGGTCCGCGCATTACACGTTGTTGCGTCACGAAGTTAACAACCGCGTCATTAGCGACGGGAAACACACGCCCGTAGTTTCGTACTCTAACCGTGTAAATAACGTTTAGAGTGCTTGGACTTCGAGTGGACAAACGTTGTGACGGGTATTGAAGGGAATCCAGGGCCTCGGAGTTCGCGTGTCCACTGATGAGGAAAATTAGATTTGAGCCTGAGGTAAGCGGGAGATAAGATACCGGGGTCTGATAGCCACTTGGACGGGTGTGTGGTGGGGTGGCAGGGAGCTGGTGGTAAACACACCTAAAAGTGTCCGGCACACTGTGCAATTGCCTGACTTGTGAGGGCTGGATTAGGCTATAGCAGAAACCTGCCAAGAACTCAGTTACAAACAAGTGAGTAAAAGCTTTTGAACGGAAAGTTCTAATCTTACAATGATACCGTGTAGACGAAGTCTATGGCAGAGAGAACATACGATTGAAAGTAAAAAATGCATGCACTTTGAACAAATATTAGTTAGAGTTTTTTTGGATCAAACAATACAAAAAGTTTAATTGAGTCTTGTGAGAAGCAAGGTCCCAAACTAATGCACAGATAGCAAGAAACCTGAACCACGGACACACTGCTGCCCATATTGTGGGTCTCATGCACACCTGCACCCAAATCATAAAAAAAATTGAAGATAGAAAATAAATTAAATCAAACATTTAAAACACTTTCCAAGTGATCAAGGATAAAAATGTATTGGTTGAGAAACGTTCCAAGAGATATTCAAATCTGTTTGATTCACATTACCCTCAAGCGTATTACGAATCGTAGCAGCGGTAAGACCTGTCTCCCACCATCATTACAGCCTTGTATAAGTCACTTAATGAGTTACGAGCAGGCAAGACGGCATTTCCCAACTCATTCCCGGAGCAGGTGCATCTGTCTGGCTTTGCTCAGCGCGCTCTCATCTCGTCATAGGCTTCCTCCCCTCCCCAGACCCAGGGGTACGTCGTGCACAGGCAGGCACATTGAAGTATTTTGACTTGGTCGTGGCGTAACCTCGGCTCTGTGCCGGCTCCGATTTCACAACACAGACAGTCTTGATACACTTAGTTCATCTGCCACTCGGAGTCCCACAGCGAGACTAAATATACACCAAAGTTTTGCTTTCTTGAGTAAAATAGAACTGTACGAAACAAACCCGAAGCGTGGGTTTATATCTCCGTTGGCTGATTACGATGTTTTACCCTGGTGGTATGCGTCTGGCTATCAGCACTGAGCGACATCGAAAATCGTTTTGAAGTATAAAGTCAAAAACTGAGGAAAGGGGAGAGCATGATTGCATCGGTACCATTATGATAATAGTTAATTTATCCATGCAGCCATTACCAATCGACCACTCAACCACATTGAAGTTTTAAAACAATCATATATCAACTTGCTAATCGATTCATACAAACATGCCTATGACATATCCTGCTTTAATTTACTCTAAACCCACCAGACTATATTTTCATCTATCTGTCCGTTAGTCCACACAGATAATACCACCCCTTAGTTTACATTATACACAACAGATAGATAGATAGATAGATAGATAGATAGATAGATAGATAGATAGATAGATAGATAGATAGAGAGAGAGAGAGAGAGAGAGAGAGAGAGAGAGAGAGAGAGAGAGAGAGAGAGAGAGAGAGAGAGAGAGAGGGGAGGAGGGAGGGAAGGGGGAATGCAACAGGAGCGAAATGGAAATCTGAGTTGGTTCATTTGTATTCCGACAGGGGAACGCCCCACAGTGGAGGTTACATCAGAGATTTGAAGTCAAGTTGAAATTTACGACATCTGCGCCCGGCTCCTGCAAACAGACTTAACGAAACAAGACTCGACGTTCAGTAAACTGGGCAATCCGAGGTTTGTTCTTGTTGTGTCTAAACGTCAGCAGGGACCTTGTTGTCTTTAGTAATGTACCTGTTTGCAGTGAGCGATATCTAAGGCTTTATCAACTGGGAACTTAAGGAGCTTCGCCCGCCCTCCTGCAGTTATCCGTGGACAAGAGCTCTTGGGACATGTCACAGTCATGAACTTTCTTTGAAATTAGTAACATTATTAATGCCGGCATGACAAACTACTTAAAGTTCCCCGCGGAGAAGAGCACACCAAGAATGTCAACGCGAGTGTCTAAGGCCCCTCTTGGCAAGTGAAGAGGCCCATCTTAGTTGTGCGGGTATGCAGGTATATCACGCGGACGGGAGGGGAATGGTATATCTTTTATAACTCGCGGAGACTTGAGATCGAGCTCGTTTGCCGTTGTGACGATGTTAGCACGTGTTTGTACACTTTGTTTTAAAACAAATTACTTTGTCTCTAATCTCTGTTACATGTACCCGCGTTGCACAGTCGCGTGGTAAGGTAAGGGTGTGACATGTCACTGAACACAGTCAAGTGATTTAAGAGGAGGGATCTGCATTTCGATGTACACCTGCAACAGAGAGAAGTCATGGCCGCGACAAGCCATTGAAACTTCCCAAACAACTGAATTCCAAGAATTTCCAAGCTGAAAATTCAAATAAATAGCATCGTTACCCAAGCGAAACAGAAAAGCATCTGAGCTAACTGCGCCCCGGTGCAGTGATAGGGGATGGTAAAAGAGGATACATTATTATACTAACATAGAATGGAAATTACAACTTGAGAAACTGTACAAAGGCAAAAAAAACAACAAAATAGGAAACAAGAATGAGAATAAGAAAGAAGTAAGTACATACATGTATTATATACCTGAACCATTCTAGGTAATATTACACAACCACCATGTGGATGAAAACAATGTACAATGTACCAGGTCTTGTCTGAACCATCATGTTCCTGAAAGGTGTTCACAATCTTAATTACAGAGTAATTGCTTAAAATATCTACAAATCTTTTTTCGTTCATTATTCATAAGCTCGTTAATGAATAAATCAGTAAGTGCATTTTATTATTCGGGTACTCGAATTGGCTTCTAACACAACAGTATGATCTTGCAACGGCATTTGGGTTTTTCTAAATCTTTGGGGAGCATGCAAATTCCAGTAGTTCTTGGATAATAAAAAAAAAATGTTAATCACAAGCACTTCTGAGACGTATTGGTATGGAATTATGGTAAAGTGTGGGTGATATATGAGTAAATCAACCATACGTTAGTAGATTTGTTTATTGTTTAAGCTTAATATTATATCTAGTGTATAGTGTAAAGCGCACAGAGCTTGCTGTCGAGCGGGGATATGCGCTATTAATTTTATTAAAATTATTATTATTATTATTATTATTATTATTATTATTATTATTATTATTATTATTATTATTATTATTATTATTATTATTATTATTATTATTATTATTATTATTATTATTATTATTATTATTATTTATTATTATTATTATTATTATATTAAAGATAGAAAACGGAAAAAGTAACAGCAAAAATAATCGACAACACAGCATGCATTCATTTGTACAATCTTCTTTATTGTGTCAAAACAGAAAACACGATGCAGTGATCTCTAAACACATCAGTAGGATAAGAAGTTGTGCAGTTACAAAAATACATTTTTATTCAACACAACTTCTGCCTTTATTGTGTAACTAGATTTCATGTGTATACTTCCTTTATTCACATTTTCAAATATTTCATTTCACAACTAAGAAATTCGTGAGTAACAAAATCACTCTTGTTGTACATCAGAGGATGACTTTGATATAATAAAACCTATCATGACGGTTGTCACGCCAGAGAAAGACACAAGAGCGTACTCTAAGAGATTATGTTGAACGTGATGTGTTCTGCAGGCGAGAATAGAAACACACGAGAGAAGAAAAAGACTTGCATAGATGGTGTTGCTTACACCGAATTTGTTAGCTACAAACCCCTATTTTGCCTCTCTTAATATATTCAATTTCTGATCTCTTTCAGATCTCTTTCGCAATGATAATATATGTAAAAATGAATTAGAACAATACAATGAAAACATACTCAGAAATTTTCTTCATAATTAATACTTAATTGAAATATTCGGCACGGGTGCTGCTGTTGACTCGAGGACAACCGACACGTCTTATAGTAGCAAACTACTGCACCATAGCCTGTACTTAGAGCAGTACACCGCTACTAGTTCGTATAGTTATTTGAAGCTCGTCGATGGAGGAATGAACCAGAGGTGTGTCAAGAAGCAAGATTTATAAAAACAAAAATGATAAAAGTATTTCACGAAAATATCACAAACTTTGTGGACGGATGTGTCGGTAATACTATTACAGGCGAAGTCCAAAGTGTATTCTCAAAGGAGATTACACTACGGGACCTAATGCTATGGTCACAGCTGAAGGAATGTTCAAATACTTATTAACCAACATAGCCGACGTCAAACGATTTTTCGGAAATAAGTGCAGAAAGCTCTCTTATCTTATATGTACTTCTCAATTCTGAAAAGGAACTCGAAATTTTCATAATATAAGAAGAAGCAATAAGATTTGAACGAAATGGTACCTCTTACAGTTGTTCAGGTCTTATTCATAAAATATACACGCCTGTATAGAAAACAACTCTGTCTGCATTCAAAGACAGGGCACACAGAATTGCCAACAAAGTTTGTTAAAGTAGTCACGCCTAATTTTGTCAAGCAGAGTACTAAAACTAAGATGAATCTTTCAAAGTTTGTTTTTCGTTGACCGAGATACCGAGCTAAAAGAAAAATGTATAAATAGTGCAATGGTTAACGTTCGCGTACTGCCATCTCTGACTTTCCTCTTTTCATCCCCCCCCCCCAAAGGAGAAAGAAAAGAAGCTCTCTCTTGATCACAATGTGTCACTACCCTGTGTAAACGTAGATGACGTCTTTTATTACTGACCCAGTTCGGAGAAGGGTTGATTTAAAATTCTGATGTGGGGGAAGCTTTTGTGGCACACTTCTGTAATTTTTAGAGGAAAAATAATTCCCCCTTTTCAGTATCATGTAAATCACGAGACAAATCATTAATAATCCCAGCACGACAAGGTGTGACACAGACTTCACCCACACACGGTTGGACCAAGTAAAGGGATTATACCGGAACTTAATGGCATACTAAAATAGTTAATACTTTTCTTTTGTTCTGTTTTCTAAAGTCAGTGACCCAGCAAATGCCAGCTGAAAGCAAGAATATCAGAGCTAATTTATTTTTGGTAACAAAATGACTCAACGTGGGCCGAACCCCCCCCCCCCCCCTTTTTTTTTTCCCTTCCCCCCTTGTTAAGTCACCATTGAATCAAAAGTGCTTGTTCTGAGTGACACATGTACGCAACTGATATTCCATATATTATTATACTATTACGACAGCAACATTTTTTCCCTGACAAAAGACATTTATTAGTTGGGCATAATTCATTGTTTAGGTATCCATCTACGGCTTATGACTATTGTAATTCCACAATTCGCCCACAGCTACCAAAGCTGCATTGCCCGTGCAAACATATTAACTCATTGACTAAGTATATTTTAAAAACATAATTTACTCAGCTTTTCTTCTCCCGCTTTCTCTCCCACAATACTCCCTCCCCCACTCTTAAAGTCCAAAGACAAGAAACAAAAACACGTTTCCGCCCTCGTGTCCGCTTGCCATTTTGTTCGTCGGTCCGTCCCAAAGCCGCTCCAAACGGAACAGTGCGGATCTCCGCGCAAAATGATGACATCACAGAATGTTTCTAAGGACGCCGTCCCATCATGCCTCAGACTCAAACGCCAAGAAGGAAGGCGTGCTTGGCGTTGGTCATTGCATGGGGAGCGTCCACAGCGGGCATGACCGGGTTGTTGAGGGTGTGGTTGAAAGTCCCGCGGAGCACGGTGTCCTGAATCAGAGGCGACAGCTGTGGACGACAGAAGGAAGGAAAACAAACCGTTAGAGAACATTGTCAAAGTTGAAAGGCTTTCTGTATCTATGTAAAACGGTATGTAGATATGTTTCTAAAGACTAGTCAATAAATGCAAATCTTGACAACGGCACAAATAGCTTCTTTATCATCACCATCTTCATCATCATCATCATCATCATCATCATCATCATCATCATCATCATCATCATCATCATCATCATCATCATCATCAATCAGTCAAATGCAGCCAAAATGTTTCAAGACAGCCACAAACAATTTAGAGGGAGCAACATGTCAACACAAATAGAGCTACAGAGAACGCACGTTTAGAACACTCAAGCTCAGCCAGTTTAGACGAGAGAGAGAGAGAGAGAGAGAGAGAGAGAGAGAGAGGGAGAGAAAAAGAGAGAAACGGAGAGAGAGAGAGAGAGGGAGAACGAAATCTCGACCATACGTCCATCCTTGCAGAATATACGTCGCTCTTAATCTTGTTTCTTTTCATTCGTCAACTACCTTTTACCGACGCCCTTTCCCTCCGCGCCTCACTCTTTCTCTCCGCACCCCGTATTTGCTGCTTTTATAGACAATGTATATTTGCGTATATTATTCTATACACACGTACAATTATATTATACATGTATGTATATGAATTTGTTTGCTTCATGTCTCCATTTTCGCTTTCCCCCAATTCACTTTTCCCCTTTCTCTCATCCCAACTCTTTCTGGATCCTATCTCTCAACCCCCCCCCCCCTCCTTTTTCCTTCTTTCTCCCTTATCACTCCACCCACTCTTCTTGTCCTCGCCACTTTTTCCCTCCTGCCTTCATCATTCCTCTCGTTATTCTAATATCCATCTTCGTGCGCTGTTTCTTCCGCCTCAGTTTTATACTTAGTTGTTTTGGGGCTGTGGACTTTTATCGGACCGCTATCTCAGATGGTTCCGGCCCGGTCCCCAGGTGAAGGGGCAAGAGGTCTTTTTATTTCGTACCCTGGACTGATACTGGCACGGCCTGTGAACGGCGGCAACAGAGCTCTGTCTGTTTCTGTCTGACGCCTGTCTGTCAGCGCCCCCAGGCGTTTTCACCTAAGTGTTTGCCTTCCCTCGTTGTCTGGCCATTTTTTGGGATGGTTTTCATTAAAGGCGTTTCATCTCCATAAAGCCTAAACCAAAAAAAAAGTAGACTACCGCTCTCAATACTCGGACCCGTTGCAGACAAAGACAGGCTCATGGATAGATAGATAGCAGGCAAGCAGGCAGACAGACAGACAGACAGACAGACATACAGACAGACAGACAGACAGACAGACAGACAGACAGACAGACAGAGATAGATAGATAGATAGATAGATAGATAGATAGATAGATAGATAGATAGATAGATAAACAGAGAGATAGATAGATAAATAAATAGACAGACAAATAGATAGATAGATAGATAAATAGATAGATAGATAGATAGATAGATAGATAGACGGATAGATAGATAAACAGATAGATAGATAGACAGATAGATAGATAGATAAATAAATAGACAGACAAATAGATAAATAGATAGATAAATAGATAGATAGATAGATAGATAGACGGATAGATAGATAGACAGATAGATAGATAGACAGATAGATAGATAGATAGATAGATAGATAGATAGATAGATAGACATACAAGTACTCATACACATGTATGTAGATAAGGGATGACTACTATACTCTGAATAGACATCGGGAGATGTATTAATTACGTGTATAACAAACAAATACTATTATATTACGCTTTGTTGCCTGACAATTGGTGTCATTACAGTCGACAGGTAGGCTCGCTAACAGGCAGGGGAAAGATCTCACCTTTGTTGTGCGAGTCATAGACAGAAATGACATAAGAATTTGTCCTCTACTTTTTGTTTTCGATTGTCTTTGCTCAATTGTTATTCTACGCAATACATGTATCTTATGTCCTGTCTTACGACGTGTATGCGTGTCCGCACATGACCTTTATAATATCACTGACATTGTAAATAACCAAGACAAGTTTCTGCTAGCGGGGTCAATAGATATTATCATTGTCATTATGCAGGACTACGATACAGATGGCCCCAGTTCAAATCTCCAAACAGAAGTTCTTCAAGGCTCCCATATCTCTCTGTTTCGTCAAACAGTAGATGGGTGTTTACCCTGGAGGTCCCACATATCAAACAACCTTTTTCTACTGTAAGGAGAGTTAAATCCTTACAGCAAAGAAAAAAATAAATGTGCCAAATTGTATAGGTTAATGTCCCTCGCAAAAATGTACGGTAATTTAAAAGACGGGACCTCCGAATTTAACATACGTCTTCGACAGGACCGAGCCAAATAGGAACATTCGCTTAAAATATTTTTCCCTAGGACACAACGTCGGACTAAACTGAGCCTCGTGTCCTCGAACCCGTAATCTCACAATTACAGATCCAGTAGTCTAACTACAGGACAATAGACACATTTCAACTACATGGCGTATTTCGATCAGTCTGTTGGTGACCACCCAAGAAAATCTCCCCAAGGACAAGCAATGGCAGCTGAAGCCCGTAAACATTCCCATCGGTCCTTATGAAAGTGTCATTAACCCTCTTGAGTTCGTTAACACAACCATTGGTCATCATGAACTTGACATTAACTCTCCACACACCTCCAACAAGCTTGAGCTAGAGTTTTAAATAATGACAGCGGAGTTGCTCGCACCGTCGAGTTGTCTCCCATTCAAGCACAGCTGTCGGTCCCATCTTTTTCTGTCCCGACCCCATTATGGTACTTTACCGCACACAGGGGTGTGAAGAGTTACGCTCGTAAAAGTCATACAAACAAATAAAAGGTTCTACCAGCTCGTGAGTCCTCCAAGCTTCTCTTCGCCCCACCTATCGTATTCTCTAATTTCAAGATGTTTGAAAGAAATCAGGGTACCAAATTTTAGTGGACTCAACCTTTCTTTTTTTCTAAAACACCAAGATTTATGTCGGGATAAACGTTTTTAGATAAGCAGACGTCAGGATGTGTCATTGAGGAAGACACATTCACCTGGAATATAATTATATACATTACATGTACAGCCCAAACAAACAGGAGCCTTGCACTGCAGCGACCATCAGTGTTGTACCACTATGTAAGTTGATTGTTTCCCATCTATGCGTAATTTGGATTTATGATCTGTATACTTGAGTGCAAAATACAAATAAAACTCTTTTTTTTTTAGAAGACGACTGAAGCAGTCATTTCATAACCTTTTCTTTCTTGAATGTCCTTAAAAACCCTCTACGTTACCCCACCGAAGAAAAACAAAACAACCCAAAGCTAAAACCAAAAGGGAATTGTGTACCAATATTCCCAGCTGGCCGTGAGCAGTTTATCTAGAATCTTCGCCAACTGCCATGCCGAGAGCAGTGTGGGCTGATGGCAAATCCACGAGATAAAAAGCTTGCTTTTTTTAGAGCTGAAAAACAATTCCTGCGGAGCGCTTCCCCGATCAACACCGGTAGGCAGATACTTATCGCAACCCAACCCACCAACTTCTCTCTCCCTTTTTTTCTGTTTCGTCTTACCTAAAATAATGTGACGCGATGCGTAGGACAGGTGGTTTGCGGTGATTCGACAGGAAAAAAATAGCAAAAAACTCTACTAAACTTTTCCACACATATCGCTGATGGGCAGATTTCAACGTCTGATTCCGGGTGGCACCTCTTTAGATTACCGATGTTAGAAGTTAGGGAAAATTAATGGAAAATCATGGTCTTGCCTGGTACTAGCTTGAGTGTAAAAACCAGATGACTAAAATATTCGTCCCACGGGTTAAAGAATTCTAAAATTTGACCAAAATTTACAAAATCGGCCCATTTTCGAGGGAACAATAGATATATAGATAGATAGATAGATAGATAGATAGATAGATAGATAGATAGATAGATAGATAGTAGAGGGTAAGATCGTAACATACACTTTCTTCAAAGGCACAAGGAATAACAATTACAAAGAGAAGGGCAAAAGGCAAATCGGGCAGGGTCAGCGGTCCGAATCCATGGTTTAACTATCAGAGAAAAGCCAGTACAGTTATTCGAAGTCCCAATCTACTTTCAACAACCACACATTTCTGTACAAAGACAACCCACTCTCGAGTTATTACAGTCATTCAAACCGACACGCTCTAGGCTACACAACAGAGACGGAGAAATTTTTTATATTCGTATCTCACGCGACAAGCAAAGACAGGATATGGCCAAATCGGGAGGCCCTAACGTTACGAAGTCTGCTGTTTGTTGAAATGGGAAACATAAAAGAAACTAGTTTTATAGAAGACTTTGATAGCGAGAGAGCCTCAGCGACCCATTACCTGATGTGACCCTAACGGTAAACTGTTGTGTCAACAAAGAGAAGCAAGAAAAATCCACTAAAAAGACCGCAGCAAAATTCGGGTAAAATACAAGGCGGAATTCTTAGCACGCAACTATGTCCTTTGAAGACGTTTGCACGAGACCCTGCTACATAGGTCGACGCTTGTAGTTCCAAGCTTTAGTTTACAGACCTTGACAGAGTTAAGAGTTACCAACATTTTCTACGTACTATGTCTGATTTCTCATACAAGGTCGAATTGAAAAGAATTTTACAGGAAAATGCACAGTCAATGCCACGTATGTCACCAGAGGCATACTTAGACAATAGAAACCTTGGAAAACGGAGGAGGAGCAGACCGCGCCAAAGCCCACACCATTCAACATCTGAACCTCTCTCAAAAGTCAATTAATCACTTACCAAGTAGTCGTTTTTCTGTGTATACATTTCAAGAGGGGCATCAATACTTTAAGAGGGACATTGACTTGACAAAGTATTTTTTAAAAAACAAAAAAACAACAACAACGACACAAAATCGTAACGTTGGAGTCTAGATCTAATGAAAAGTTTGAATGCTTACACACATTTGCTTATTATGTCGAAACATCTTTTGCATTTCATTTTACAGAATTTAAAAACCC